GCGTTTAGTGTAAAAAATTTAAACGCGGCAAACAACGCTTTCAAAAACGAGCAAACCAAACCGTTCTACGGCGTTTTTGAAAAGGCCGCCGCACTTATAAACTGTCCCAAACGGGCTTAGTGTTAAGTTGTGAATCTTATTTTTTCTTTTATGAACATAAATTTAGGAGATATTTGGATTTTTTTAATATTTTTTAATATTGTTTTTATTTTTTCTTTTGTTTTTAAAAATATTTTATTTAATATGTTTTAATAAAAATTAAAAAATAGAAAATAAAAAGACAAATGTGACACATTTTCATTTAGGCGTCATTTGAGATCATTTTATTTTTATTTTTTTATATTTATTTTTTACTTTTAACATAATATATTTGATTAAGATAAAAGCTCTCAAAATATCTAAAAAACTATTTTTTAAGTGATTTAAGAAAAACATTTTCAATTTATTTTACAAAAAAAAACAAACATAATTTTGAAAATAAAAGATAAAAATAAAAAATAAAATTAAATTAATAATAAATTGGTAGGTAATGGAGTTGTCTAATTAAAATTGTGGAAATTGTAAAGTAAAGCCATGTGTTAGAAAATGTATTAGGCATTGTAGAAGAGTGAATAAGAATGCATTATATTATAATAATCATCTGATTTTACTAAGCCTAAGTCAAATACTCATAGCCAATAGTCTGATTTTTCATTTTCACCACTTAACTTTAACGTATTTATACATCTAACCCATAAAATTTAATATTTACATTTGTAATCTTTCGGTGTCATAAATTTACGCATTAAAATATGTTTCACTTTTAAAGGAATAGTAATAGTGATTTTTTTGACAAAATGTTATGCACGTACATATAGGGGAGTAAACGAGCCGAACAGTAGCGAGCCATGCTCAGCTCGTGTTTGGCTCGTTTATATTTCGAGCTCAAAAAGTGTGTTTGTGTTCGCCTCGTTAGTTTAACGAGTCGAACACGAGTTGTTCACGAACAAATAGTCATTTTAACAGCCCTAAGCATGTAGTCATAAGACAATAAAGATTTGAGCAAGATTTAAAAATTATTATTTATATTAAAACATCATTTGAATCTAATTTAATAATTTTTATTCTATTTTCTTAATCAATATTTTAATTGATTATAAATCTTTGTAGTCTTCTAGTCAATTATTTTTTTTTTAAAATACTACTTACTATATATATATATATATAAACTTGATGAGTAGTGTTTGGACGAACACGCCCTCATCTTTTTTCGTTTTCGGCTCGTTAACTTTTCGAACGAATTTAACGAGTCAAACACGAGCTTCTTAACGAGCCGCAGACGAGTTGTTCGCGAACAACGAGTCATTTTGACAGCCCTACGTACATATCACGAATTAATGTTTAGATGTCAGATATGTAATTAGTAAAAAATGTCTGGTATATCTGTAAATGCCACTTATTTTAAATTGAATGCATAAGTAACCACGAAATCTCCTTGTCAAGCATTTAGATTTACCCGACCAAATCATGACAATTTAGTGGAAAAACACATGCAAAAAACAAATTCATACATAATTTTTCTCCTAAAATTATAATATTTTACATCAATTTTCAGCTTCAAATTTGAAAAATTTAATATCTTATTCCTTTTCCTAATGTCCTCAATATTAATATGCTGTCCTATTGTCATTTGCCATGCAGAGTTGCGGCCAAACAAAATGTTAAAAAATCAATAATAATAATAATTATAATAATGAGGAGGATATACACATATATCACTCAATTCTTTATATATTTACATATCCAGCCTAAACTTCAAATTCTTACATTCATATATATATATATATATATTGTTATTATTATTATTTTAAAAGAAATGGTCAAAGGTAATTATAGGAGCCTCTAGCCACACCCAATGTGTCTAACAATTCGAGTACGACTTTTTTAAGGCCAACTGTGCCAGAAGGGATTTGAACCCCAGACCTAAGGATTCTTATACCGTGGATGTCAACCAACAGGTCAGGATACACGGCACACACACACACAGATAGATATATATTCATTCATACATACATACACACACACAAATAGATATATATTCAATCAAGCTTTGTCCTCATTTTTTTCTTTTAATACAATTGTATTTTTCACAGTATATATATATACATACATATATATATATATGTATGAATGTATGTATGTATACATACATATATATATATATGTATGTGAATATATACATACATACATTCATACATATATATATATATGTATGTATATATATATACATACATACATATATATATATATGTATGTATGTATGTATGTATGTATGAATGAATATATATCTATTTGTGTGTGTGTACATATATATATATATATATATATATATATATATATGGTAATTTAGGCATTGGATATATATGTTGTTAATCTGTAATATTTGTTTTGCACTGATATCATATATAACATTATATATCAACTCAGTTCAATTCACATTAAAAAATAACTCAAGCGATTCATATAATCCTTTTACAATTTCCAACATATACTAATTCATTAAATTTATGAGACTTAATTGTTATAGATGCATGATAACATGAGAAATTTAGCCAATTTATTGAAGCATTTTCTAAGAATATAATTTAAAATTGCACAAAACACCAAGTAAAGTAGTAGTAATAAATAATATCAGTCGTGGTTTGTTAGTAGTGTAGCCTCTTTGAAGGTTGTAAGTCCCCTGAGTTCAAGTGTTCAAATCCCTCTCTGAACAGTTTGTCGATAGTGAGGGCGGTTCTCAAATAGTTAGGCACATGAGGTTGGCTGAGGGCTTGCATAATAGCCTTCGACCATTCTTTTGCGAAAAAAAAAAGTAGTAATAATAATAACAACTTGAACATGCCATATTATATTTTTCTTGCAATTATTTTTTTATCATTTTTTTATCATTTTTTTATTCAAACCTCATTATCATTCTAAAACAAATAAATTTTAAAGTACTACATTAACATGCTCTACTTTCTCTTCTCCTATGCACCATAGTGTATCCCTATGTTTTCTTCTTAAGACTATAAACAAAAAATATTTTATATTTTCATGCATAAGATTGATTTATGTTATATTAAAGTTTTCTAACATAAACATTCTCGATAACATATTTGTTCAATAAATGTGTGGCTCTCTTCTTCTTCATTTAGCTCTAAAACCTCACAAAAAAGGCCGGCTAGGTGGGGTGGGAACGCTCTAACAGATCTCACTCTCATGCATGAACAAATTGAATATAATCTACGTAATTAGAGCTGACAACCAACATGTCATCATTTATACAACTTTTACGTGTACTTTTGATACTCGAGTCTTTTATATATCATCTTTCCTTATTGGGTCTGTTTAAGAGATGTTTCTCACACTTATGTGTATACATTCATTTTGAGTTTTCTCCTATTGCGGTTAGAAATGAACTCTCATTCATTGGATCTCTCTCTAATATAAAATAAAGCTCCAACTACTTTGTCATCTCCACATGTTTAAGGATCACAATTTTTAATAAAAGTGAATTATTTCCATCTTATATATGAAAATTTTGATTTTTTATCATTAACAATAACAATCACATTGATGTTGCTCAAATCTTAAATAAGAGAAATAAGCTTATTCAAATGCAGTTTAATAGGTATATCTTCTTACTTGTATGGCAAGTAGAGCCTTTGCCTCTAATAACACTTGTTGGTGAGGCTTATGATTTTGTATGAAGGATTTATTATGAGTCAGAGTTCACTATAGGAGATGTTGAACATAGCATCGGACATTTATGTTTGATTTTTCTGATGCCAATTTTTGTCCGTTTTTTTGCTGTAAAGCAACAGAACATAGCTTTTAATATTTACGGCGGATTTTGCGTCTGATTTGCCTCCAATAAAGCAATGCAAAAGGCATTATAGAAATGTACGACGAAGCCAATTAAGGAGTTGCGGGGGACTTAGTGTCTACTTGGCATTAAATAAATCGACGCAAGAACTTCACTTGAAAGCGTCGAAAAACATCAGACCCAAAATAAGATGCTAAGTCCGCAATAATTAACACATCTTCCACGTTTCTTGATCGTGGCTAATTTGCAGAAGTAAAAGTCGACTGTAAGTAGACGCAAATGCTTTAAAATTCTAAATCCACACCTCTAAACTTATTTCCTCTTCGCACCTCTCTTATTCTCTCTGATACCCTTGCCCAAAACCCTCGCCGTCTCTGTCCAAACCCTCCCTCAAAACCCTTGAAACTTCTCGCTCCCGGTTTTGCTCAACACCATCACCCTTCATGACTGAACCTTCACAATATGGTCGCCATTAGAGTCTCTTAGTCACTATGTTTGAAAAATAAATGTAAACTAATTGAGTTAGTAGCTACCAATATTAGCAAATGAAGATAAATTCTTTTCCAAAATATTTAGTAAAATTTTAATTTTGTACTTGATAACACTAAAAATATAACAACTCGTCATAGAAGGACGAATCTACCTAGTCTTTAGTTGTTTTGAGGTTAATTTGAGTTCACATGGATGAATCAACATAGGTTGAAGATATATCAACTTTAAATAAAAGTATGTATTCACTTGAAGTTTGGCTACCAAGGGGCCACCCTTATTTCTGAATTAAGCTTCATGCCTTTTCAACTTAGTATAGTCATTATTGGCTTGTCAACTCTTACTTAGTTTGGCTAGACCAAGTTATTGAGCCATTGAAATAAAGCGGTCATGTGTATCAAAATCTCAAAGTTATGTTAGTTCTATTGGCAATTTTTATCTAGCTTTGATGGTACTCATAATTGTGTCCAACATTAAAAACTCACAAATTCAATCTCTCTAGCTTATTCATTTTATTTTATTTTTATTTCTTTTAATTCCTTAAGACCAACTAGAATCAAAAAGTTTATAAAATGATAAGAAATTTCTTCAACTGATATAAATTTAATTAATCCATATATATTTATCCAACAACAATGCAAAAATAAGAGAGGAAACCCACAAACTTCGATTTTTTATTCATAAGCAAACACTTGAAGACAAACCAAGGAGGGGAAGAAACAAGAAACACATTCTCCTCTAATAATTTGAAGAACAAACTTTCACTTATTAGCACAGCAACCCTCAGACAAGCACAACAGCATATTATTTAGGCATAAGAAGTTGGGTTTTCAGTCAGATATCCTTCAATAGCCTTAAGCATCAAAAAGATCCCTTTTATGCTTCCTTCTTGCTCTTCGGCACTGAGAAGAGTATTATCTATAGTGTCATACTCTAATGTGACATTTGCCAAAGTTTCAGAGTTGTTTACCACTTCATATCTTATCTCGATTGAGTAACATTTCAACCTTAGGCCAATAAGCCCTCCTTCAATGATAGAGTGCTTTATTATGTGCTCCTCAGTATCTAGTGCCTCAACTCTCTCCTTAATAAAGCGGAATTCTTTCATAGCTGCAATGATACACAGAATTTACAAAGGTTTAGTCTGTTAATAATTAATTGTTGATGAAACAAGCAAAAGTAAATAATAAAGAAAATAAAACAAGTAAACATCAACATTCTAAGATTAAAAAGAACAATGATTTCCAGCTCTTGTCATAAATTATTTATATATCACTGAACACATCCATCTGCAAAACTAGTAAAATATAAACCTGCTAATAAATTGATCATGCTGAAAAGAGTTTCTGAAGAACAACCATGCTTAAAACTAGTTTTTTTAGAATATTAAAATGATCATTAGATTCAACATCAGAGGACAAATCAAAGGAAGCACACATACATACCACACAATTCTTATATATTTACATATCTGACATCAAAATTTGTATATTTGCATATATAACACTTTAGTCTCATGAAGTAAACATTTATGAAATTGCACTTCCGTTGGTTATACCCAACCAACAAAACCAGCACTCCCAAGAACAGTTGATATAATAGCTTTATCTTTATTGTTTGAATGCAAAAAAATAGACATATATACATATATAAGAGATGGAGGGAGAGAATTCAGCAATATTATAGAATTGTATATGGCAGAATACCTTCACCGAAATTAACAATCTTCAAAGTACCAACTCTGCAATCTGCTTCAGAAAGCTCAACACTTGAAACAAAATCAGGCACTAGCTTTGGAACCAAATTATGGGAATCAACAACGGCTGCTTTCCATGCTCTATCGAGGGCAACGGTCAACACAAGCTCGCGGGTGAAGGAACCTGAAACCATTATTGTTCTTCAGAAGAAACTGTGGAGGAGAAAAATTAAAGCTTTTTTTTGTCAGTTGGTTTTGGCTTAGTTTCATGTGGGAATGGCCTTTTTATAGATGTGAGGGTGAGGTTTGATGTAGAAGTTGTTAAGTTGCCAAGTTTTATTTATCTTCTAAGGACAAAAATTTAGGCTGTGTTTTGCTGCGATTTGGATTTATGTTAAGTAAGATTTATCAAATCTGTCTCATAAGTGGATTTATCTAACCTTGTGAAAGGTAATAGAGACGAACGACCTCTTGTATGGATTTAATAAATCAGGATTTACGTTGTAAGATAGATAGAATGCAAGAAATTTTGATTCAATGGATCAATGGATTCAGTTTTTGTTTTTCTTATGTTTGGCGGGATTGAAGTTAAATTCATGGCTAAATCTCATAAATAGTATGCTACCAAATACTTGCTTAGGAGATGTTTGTGATCAAGTTTTTTTTTAATTTGTTTGTTTGTTTGTTTTTGTTTTATTTACCTTTTGTTTTAAGAAAAACTCATTTGTTTAATATAATTTTTTACTTTTTTTTTCAATTAACAAATTAAAATCTTTTTAAAAATAAATAAAATAATTTTTAGGCATTTTGAGTGTCTTTAATAACAATAATATAATAATCAAATATGCCAAACAAGTTCACTTTCAAATGAAAACATAAATGAAGCAAAATAAAATTACAAAATTGAAATAAAAAATAACCCACTAGTACTGGAATTAACCTAAATCACAATATAAATGTAAATATTATTGTTGAATTTCCAAATATTACAATAAAGATTCTTCAAAATAAGAATAAAACAACACAAAACACCCAAACGACCCTATGAGATGAAAGCAAAAGGGGTGAACACCAGACTGGAAAATAGATAGGATGGCTATCTGGTCGGCAAGACAGCAACATAAGAGGTTAGAGGGGGTGACAGTAGCAGTAGGATAAGATGGAGGGGTTGCAACAGTAACTAGTTGAATTGAGGAGGGTTGCGACAAGCCTTGTTGGATTGGAGGCCAGGTTGTGAGGGCAGCTAGAGATGTGGAATTGGATCCAGTAATAACAGGTGAGATAGGATGGGATTGACAACAACAGTCAATGATGAGGGATGGTTTGGTGATGATGAATGAATTGTGACAATAGGAAAGTGGGGGCAGCGGCTGCCGGCGGAGAAAAAGAGAGAAGGTTGACACGTCCATTTGTGGGCAACGGGCAGACAAGGACGAGTAAGTAAAAGAAATATAAATATCCTTGTAGGAGCAAGTTACAGCCAAACAACCCCACAAATCCTTGGAAAAGATCACTACTCGAACGAGTTACACCCTGAGCACATTCTCTTATTTCAATACACTCCTAGATGGGAAAATAACAACCAACAACAAGTTGAACATAAAATTTCAAAGGAAAAAAACTAACCCTAATCAACAAATAGAACATATTTATATAAGCAGATAGTTGGGTGTGGGAGGCCTCTCCCTTGGGCGGCAACCCTGGCCCGCCCTTGGACCAGCTAACTCTTGCATTAGCCTACTGAACTGATCGGCTCTTTCATGGTGGTAACATAACATAGACATAAATTAGGTAAATTTTTAATAAATTTTATGTGTTTTTGCATGTTAAACTTCTTTCTTTTTCCTTTTACTTTTACATTTTTTTTTTCTTTTTCTTTTTTGTTTTTTATTTTTATTTATATATATTTGAACTAGATTTCATTTATTTCGTAACAACTAAGTTCAAATTTTAACAACATTTGGTCATAATAATAAATTGATAGGTAATAGAGTTGTCTAATTAAAAAAAGGAGGAAATTGGAAAGTAGAGCCATGACTGTCTTCTTGTGTTAGTAAATGTGTTGGGCGGCGAAGAAAGAATAAGAATGCATCATATTAGAATAAATGCTTGTTTTTACCAAGTTAGTTTGATTTTTCTTTTTGAAGAGTTTACATATGCACAACATAACTTTTATGGATTTACATATTAAACATAAAATTTGATACATAACAAGAACAATTTGGCTCAGCAGGAGGTCAATGGATCTCTGAGAGGTGCGCAATAGCAATGCGAAAGTGGCACAACACCCGGCCAAAAGAACATTGGGGGTGCATGACAACAACACAGAAAGTGGAACAATAACAGCCAAAGAAACTTTGGCTGCGTGACAACATAAAAGAAAAAGGAACTTTGGGGGTGCACAATAAAAGTGCAAAAAACGTCACAATAGCAAGTCAAGGGAACTCTAGAGGGCACAATAGCAGGCCAAGAGACTTTAGACACTCCTGAAAGAAAGTTCGTTTTTTTCTTCTCTTCCTGTCCTAAATGTTGCAAATTGGCTCCAAAATCACAAAAAACTGTCTCCAGACTAGCTACCCATGCCCACTGTCCAATCGCGCTCAATTCAAAAGCACTGACCCGAATTCAGGTGGCAGCAGCCCGGATCACAGCACAGAATCTCGTTGTGCATCTTTGCATGCAATACGGTCAACGGTGTGATCCACTGCCATGATCACCAGCCAGCCTGCCACTGCATCGTCTGATCCAACGATCAAGCTTCCAACTCGACCCGACCCAACCCGAAGCCAGCACATCCGCGTCGCCGCTGTCGACTGGCTCAGCCGCCACAGTAATTGTTGGTCTTCCAGATGACTAGACTCCAATTTTAAAAACCTTAGGTGATGGCCAAGTTGTCTGTTATTTTGACTTCCAATTAATGAACTAAAGTAAAAGGGCACTTTTGTAATGTGGTACCGCTCACCTACCACATCTCACCTACCGTTCACCTACCGCTCACCTACC